GGTTAATGTATTTCAATGGTTGATAATAATATCTTAGTGCAATTGTTCGAAATTGTTTATTCTAATTTATGAATATTTTTAAATAATGAATTCTTTTTATAGTTTTTAATTTCGTATTTAAGTGTAACCTATTGAATTTGTGAATTTTAATTTGTAAATATATTTAGGGAATATATTTTAAGGGAAAAACATAACTGGTTGCTTATACATGATGCCGTATAATACTACAAAAATATCCATTTGTTTACAGATCCTGTTAAGAAAAAGAAAAAACGTAAAGATGGGTCAAGATCCTCCGATAAAAACGAATCCAAAAAGAAGAATAAAAAAGGTTCATGTCAAAAAAGCCCAAAACACACCACACCAGAAGACAAGAAAGAACCAATATTTGATGAACAAATTTGGTCGAGGCGGAGGAGTGAAAGAATTTTTTTGAATGACACAAGTCCAATAGCTTCAAGGGATGTTAGTCCATCAAACAAGAAGCAGTCTCAATTAAACCAAACAGGTTCCGAGGTAGATTCAACAATAACGAACATTTCTAAACAAGAAATTAAATTGGAAATTGAGTTGCCTGGTGACAAGATTGTCAGCGTTCTAGACGCTCTTACAACAGACCCTCTTACGATGCGTAAGAAACTCGAACGATTATCAGGGAGTGGGGAAGAGACTACAAACATCAAAACAAAACTTAATACTAAAAAGATCCCTACTAAAGTTAAAGATATTTATTCAGATAATGACGCCAGTGATAAGGACGTTGATGATAGTGAAAGTGAGGATCTGCCATTGAGTGTCTTACGGGAGAGACCAGCTTCTCCGGCTCAAAGATCCTGTGCCATTTTACCCGAAGAACTTTGTCACGGTTTGCGTGTTCTCATCCCTATTGACAATTTATTTTATGCTGGTTATGTTAGTCCAATACAGCCACCAGATGTTTATGGTGTCATTATCGATGGCCAACGTGGAAACAGACCTCATGTATTCTCACAGGAGCAGATGTTGCAGCAGGCTATTTTAGATGTAAAGCCAAAGTCTGTACGATACCTTCCAGAAGGCTCTAGAATATGTGCCTATTGGAGTCAACAATATCGATGTCTCTATCCTGGAACAGTCGTCAAAGGAAGTCCAAATCCAACTGTTGATACGAATTACGTAAGTGTTGAATTTGACGATGGCGACTCTGGAAGGATTTTGATTGACGACATCAGGCTTTTACCACCAGACTATCCGGTTCTGGAAATTGAGCCGTCAACTGTTCTTCTTGAAAGAAGGAGGCGACGTAAGACATCTAACATGTCAACTAATGGAGCAAGTTCCACTAGACCACAACAACAATCAAGTCGAAATGGTCAGTACGACAATTAACTGCTATTAAAATACTTTATCAGCTTTCGTCCATTTTTCCGCTTAGGTTGCAACCTTTCCCTAGTAAAACCCAGCAATCACTGGGTCGTACGACCGTAGACGATGTGACGCCGTCTGCAGATTGCCGGTGGCTGTCTGAACGGATCGTCATTAAAACCGATCCGTTGTGCGCACGTCATGGCGTTGCGTTCTCCATTGAATTGTGTTGGCCGACGACCGTGGGGCGCAGTGAGTGCCCGGCTAAATTGAATAAAAAATGTGCAATTACCATAGAGCTATTAAACAACTAGAGTGCTGACAAGATGGCGCAGCAATGCAGAGTTATGTATG